GGGTTTAACCATGTCTCTGTAATCATGACGAGGTCCCGCGGTTGTGAGGCATGGAGTTCTCTAAGTTCTGCCAACTTGCTTAGAAGGCCTTGGGCGTTTGTGTACATGCAAGATAGGGCCTTTGTTTTTAGGAGTTCATTGGTAGATGTCAAGTTTGTGTTCACTTTTAAGCCGGCCGTTAGGTGGCCGGCAATTAATCGTTTTTTGGTTTATGTATTTCAGTCGTGTAATTTTATCGTGAATGAAATATGTAATAAGTAACTTTATGGAAATGTAGTTTTGTCATGTGTTTCTTGGGCCGGATTCCTTGAGTGTACAAGTAGCTTGCCAAAATCCAAAAAGAATGACCACACTTGGAATAGAAGGAAAAGTTTTTAGAGGATAGCTACATGTAAACGAGATCGCGCTGGTCTTCGGTTGCAACGGTAGCTAGTTACAGAGATGAGCATAGCTCCAGAGGAAGAAAATTACGGGCATATTTTACTTTTGCAAGGATAGTAGACACTTCCCTTTATTGTTGGGATAGGTTGAGCCACTCTGTACTGGTTAAGATGACTCAAAAATGTGTGGTACTATAGGGGAGACTGAGGATACTGTCCAGTCATCGAAGTCAGAGTGGGTCAAGCTGGTGTTAAGAACACCATTCTTCCCGCCCCATGATCCTTTGGTGAATCAACGGTGAGTGTTTCCAAAGCAATTACACCTGTCTTTCGGGGTAATTTGTACGATATTGTTACCATGCTTTATAACTATGTGTGTTACGCTGAATACCCTAAGGAACGCACCAAACCAACACGTATTATCACACCGATATAATTCCTATGCCTGATTGAAAATTCTTGTAAGAATGTTCGCTTGACAGCAGCTGGATTCCGTTTACTGGACGTTTCAGCAATCTAATCGTAAATGTTTCAGGAACTAGGCCGCTCCGTTCCATCAGGGCATCATCATTTATCAGAAGCAGAACTCAAAGAAACATGTTGATGAGGAATGCAGCTTGGCATGATTAATGAGCCCGTCCAGTTCCTGAAAACTGGAGCGAATAGGTGACGCAGCGCATTCAATGTACTATGCTTGCCTGTGAAGACAAACTGACTCACTAGCAATACCTGGTTGGCAAATTGTTTAAAATATTTCGCTAATAGACAAATATGTGAACAACCTTCGCACGGTATCCCCGGGTTTGACACGATAGTCGGATTGGCGTAGAGTGCTGAAGAAGTATCTAAAGCTCTACCAATGCAGTATGCCTCGACCATCCGACAAGACGTCCGCCATCGTTCCCTACCCACATCCCGTGTCAAATCCCAGCACCTACTAACATTAAGTATGGTGGCACCTATGTGTTGAAGAAAGTGCTCTTAATCGTACATACACATCCACACCAGGGCACTGAAAGTAGTAGCAACAAAGGTGGAACAGCCATTAGCACATTTCCTGCAAACCTGTGTGGATAAACAAAAGGTGTCTAACATATGGAAACACGAAGTGATCACACTAATTTTCAAAAGTGGGTCGCTCGGAAGCGGAAAACTTTTGCTTAGTGTCCCTCTTCGCTGTACTCACAAATATGATACAGGTAACCATTACGCAGTCTTTAGTCAAAAATCTAGAATGCGACAACATCACAGCACCGGAGCAACACGGTTCCCGCCAGTACAAATCATGCTCAATCAACGTACTGAGCTCATGCGGTAGTTGGACAGAAGCGGCTGACATATGGACAGTGCACTTCTCATGAGATTGAGCTTGCTGCGCTTGTGCAAGAAGATCTCGAAGACTCAAAGCAAGCTGAGATGGTTGTGAAACTAGCAAACCAACACGGTCTATTGCGGATGGCGTTTGACAGGTATAATCCTACCTTCTTTGCCCAACTTCTCAACGCTGACCTGAGACCACACGTTGAATACACCACTCAGGTGTGGCAGTCCTGGCAAAGAGATGACCTCTCTTCTCTTGCGAAGCCACAACGGAAGGCTACAAAATATGTGAAGGGATTGCTCCACCTTCCCTACCAGTTGAGATTAAATACTAGGAGTTTTTAGTGAACCATTTTGTCTTCTGTGAGGTGATCTCATGTTTGCGTATCAGGTCCTCAAGGACTCTAGCCACCCATGCCGACTCTTTTTGGAACTCATCCACAACAGTTCACTGAGTGGCCACGGTTTGAAGTTAGCTATACAATACAGCCGGTTGGAATGTTGCCGGAACTTGTACTCGTTACGTGTATTCCAGCCGTGTAACACACTTCGGTATTTTATCATATTTGCTCCTACGTTGCTCGAATTCAAAAATTGACTTGCTGATGCATTACACCTCTTGCGTTACGTTATTTAACCTTATGTACTGGGACACGCGACAACTTAACGAGACAATGAGTAGACTTGAAACTTGCAGTAAGTGCACCGCTACGCGTTTGTTGTTTTGTTTTGATACATCGGTTTTTTGGTTTGACTCTTTACCTACGGAAAACTGTTAAGCGTTTGCCTTTATATCCGTGATAAATCCATTGTTCTAGTGTTCTATTGTCATTTATCTTGACTTCTCCAAAGCTTTCGACTGACTGGACCATCGCATTCTGCTTCATAGGCAGCAAAGCTACGGAGCTGTGGATCCAGTCCATGAGTGGATCAGAAATTTCCTGCTGGATCGACAACTACGGGGAAAAGTTCTAATTGCGATATCCGATCCGATTCATGTTGGATGTGGAGTTCCTCAAATATCAGTGATGGGGCCGCGTCTGTTTCTCGTATTCCTTGATAAGCTTACGCGATCGATCGCTGATGCTTTTATGAGGTGGTAGCCCATCGCAGATAAAAGAGATCACGATGTAATTTATTGAGAACTGAATAGAGCATGAATAGTCATATGAAAACATGCTCCAGTTTGATTCGTCGAAGTGTAAGGTGGTCCACATTCATCAACAGTTGAACGTCATGTATAATCTTGGGGACTGTGTCCTGCATGCAGTGACCCATGAGCGTGAATTTATGATATTAGTCAAGGCTGATCTAGGCAGCTCAGGACAATCTGGGATGGGGCCACAGGTAAGGAAGTAATACGGTGGTGTGCTGAGAAGTGCATTCGCGTGGTTTAATCCATTCGTCTGTCCGCAATTGCTCAGCACATACGTGTGGCCTCATAGGGAATATGCAATCCAGGCCTGGCAGTTCTGACACAAGCAATATCTCGTAGTGCTTGATATTCCACAGCGAAGAGCCACCAAGCAAGTTAAAGGGTTGTTCCATCTTCCCGATTAACTTAGGCTGAGGACCCCAAGATTGTACAGTGGTCAGTATCAGCGACTAAGTGGTGACCTAATAGTAGACCAGCAGATTCTGCTGAACTCCAGCCAATTCTGCCGCCAACTACTGCAACTCGGTCACAGTATGCATTTAATAGGCACCGGATTAAGGTACCTGTGCAATACAGTCAGCTAGAATTTCGCTGAACCTGATATTAGCTTTGTGTGTGTCAACCTTAAAACTTCCACTTAAACTACACTGTTGCTTCCCCTACTTTACATAAGTTTAAAAAGCGCCTTGGCACAGCCCTAACCCGTCTAGGTTACGGGATGCAGCCTGTGTATATCGACAGATGAGAGAATGGCACAGACGTTGTACAAACAGCATTAAGGTACATAATTGAGTGGCACCTTCATGTATTCTCCTGTCTGAGCATTATGTTGAGTCCACCCAAATCTTTTATGTCCTCATATGTTTGCTTTTCTATTTTGTGCTTCTCATTCTGGCCATCCAGCGGGACATGTCAAGCATTTGCTTCTTAACCCGCAGTACATCATTGTTCCATTGTAGTGTGATCGCATTACGAGTTTGAATGGTTCACCTCTTGTTTAGGATAGTGGGAAGACCCATTGATGTAGCTTGCTGGTTTTCTTTCACTTTTGCTATTTGATGTAGAACGTGTTTGGAGGAGTGGAAGTTACCAGAATATCGTATCATGTCTCGAAATGAGTAAGCGGTTGGGTGGCAACCGTTAGAGTGATGGATCCCTATGGTATACAGCAAATGTGTTATTCTCACTGAGATTTGTCTGCCGAAAATTTCATAGACATTTTCACTTCAGATGCTTATGCATAGCTGCAGATAGTCAGGTGTAAATGAGTACGCTCTTTGGCTATTGTTCGCAAATAAAAATGGGCTGCCATGTTGCAGTGGTGATTTGCTTTTTCTTAACAGGTGCTACACATATCATCTACTGGTTCTCTCGGGCTGACGAAGCATTTGTGTCAAAGGTGAAAGCTTGCCCACCAAATAAACCTGCCACGTGCTTTCAACACCTTTTAAATTTATGACTATGTTGTTGGTTCATGGTATATTTAAGACGTTAAATGCCTTTAGTGAATTTCTGAAAGTTAGCTGGATGTGACTTTAACGTTAATTGACAATCTGTGACTTGGAGCAGTTCATGTTTGACTGGGATTTTATGTGATCCTGAAGTTGATCACTTTCTCGAAACCGGAAATAGGTCCTCTAATCTAGCGAATGGTGCAACATAACAAGCTATCCACATAGTATCTCAAGACCGACTGATCAATCCTGTTCTGATGTGCACCGGTTCATAATATTGTTCCCACCATTGGGCTTCGGGTAAATTGGGGTGAACAAACGGTTCAGAAAACTGCTATCTGGGAACGAAAATTTTCCTGGACACTTGAAAAAGCCAACTGTCGCCGTTATATTCTGACAACTTCTGGCTCCGAAAAGATTACCGCAACGTTGCATTGCGCGTGACTGATGTTTATCCAATCTACAGTGATCTTAAAACCAGTAACGGTCGGAATTTTGTCAAAATAATTCATCGTCGATTGCATCTGTACCGCAGCAGGCATGTATAAATGTCCGAAAATACGAAACTCCATCGCATACTTTGATTATGATGCGGCCTGGAGAAGGAAGACCGAGCACAAACAATTCAGTGCGGTTCAGTCAATTAGGGTTCCTTCTAACTTCCTATTGTTAGGAAACTCAATATTTTAATTAGGTTAAGTTTATAGACTCTTTCGATGCACCTAGATAAAAGTGGGAGGCGAGTTGCATCATTGTAATCAGATTAGGGAAATCATGATCTGATGAAAAAATGAACTTACAGGGGTTAAAATGCTGTTTTATATGCCAGGATAAAAAATTAAAAGATTAAATTTCGGAATGCGTAACGATTCACCAACATTGATAGTAACAGCTTCCTCTGAGGTGAAAATGAATGCTGCCTTGTTCCTCGCCAAAATCATGCTTATACGTGGTCTGTACTCATTGGCGCAATCATTGATTTTGCGGCCTAGGGTGGTCGCAAGATTGTTGCCACCTCCTGGAAGGTGTAAAGACTTAAACCCTCAAATTTACTATTAGCCTTTACGGATTCCTTATGTAGAAAAGCAATCAAATATCTAATTAGAGTTTTGCTGCATCTGAAGACATTTATACTAGCACAATACTCGTGTGTCCGACTTAGAGACACTACTTCGATGCTTTACTTGCACAAAAATATCAATTACACTGTCAAATTTCCATCCCTTGGCTTGTTGCATCTCTATGGAGAGAAGTACAAAATCCGTGAGACTTGTATGCTTCAATGAGGATTGAATGTACTTCTTTATAGAATTTTGTTCTATGCTAGGGCGCACACAGTTGGTAATGCCAACAGCTCGGTTACGAAAGATTCGCAGAAATGGCACAATATTAGGCGCAGATTCCCTAAAACGATAGTTCTAAATGAAGCTGATCTCTCAAGGAGCGCTATGACTTCCTCGTTTCCTACAGATTTCACAACCTACTGCCATATTTTGGCAAGGAATCCCTCCTTTAAAATTTCCTTCTAAGCTCCGAAAGGCATATATATATATATATATACGCCCAAATGGATATATATAATTAAATAAACATGCAGTAACCAAAGTTTACTGGGATAAATAACGTACAATAAACCAATAAAAGAAAGCAATATTCTTAGTTCGTTTTTCACTCGCTGATTTTGCTTTCATGTCGTTTTCAATGTTCCATGCTTTAACCATGGGAATCAGTGCAATTTTGTACACAGTTCTTCCACTACGGACCATACCTCCAAGCGCGATAAGCTATTGGCACTCCTCGTCCTTCGGTCCCTATCCAGGAAAACACATGAGTCCAACGGCAATCAGACGTGAAATTTGCGATTACATGTACAATCGCCAGGTGGATGGCAAACAATCACGCGGTCGCATGCAGCCCGGTCTTGCACTAGCAAATAGGGCGCGGCGCGGCAAACGATCAGGCGTCATGCGTATGACCTGAACGAGTCATCTCAACTGGCGCAGTAAAACAAGTTCGTTGCAGGGAATACTCGCATTCCACAAGACGCGACGTCGAGTGGTATCTGAGAAACCGATGTTACTATCTCACAAGAGGGATCCTCCACAAACAACCGTTGTGGAAGGTGGAACGACGACGCACCTCCTCCACGCGAATTGGCCCGGACTCGCTTCCATTCAACAACACTGAAAGAACAGAAGCATGTGTACACGGCCCTCTATCGAGCATGAGACTTGTCGACGAGGCCACAAGTGCTTCAGATTAGCACATGCTGATCGGGCTTTAGTGATGCGGAGAGAAACTTCGTTGCTTATCATGCCGCGAGACGAAGTAGACGAATCTGCCTACTTGCCCAATTTGTGTACTTTCAGGTGAACGTGAGAGCAGGTGTAGACCAATCTTGGAGCAGCACTTTACACTTCGATAGGGCGAAGCGTATGCCCTACTTAGATGTTTCAACCGCCAAACGATCCAGAATGAGTTGCACACTCTGTGGGTCGTCACTGATAGAGCGATGTCATCAGAATCATCTAAGGCGGTCGCGCGTACACCCTGTAGGACATCTTGGCCAAAATTTTGAAAATGTTCTAGGTCTATCGATAGGATGTCCCGGATTGGGAAGTAAAAGAGGAATGGAGACATAGGGCAGCCCTGTCGCGCGCCGCTATTGACAGTGAGTTGTGTGGAAAGCTTGCCGTATACCCTCACCCTGCCAGAGATATGAAGTTAAAGTGCGCGTAGATTGGCGATATATTCTCTGGCATCCAGTTCTTTAGCAAGTTTATACACCGAGTCATATGCAGTCCGTAGGACTAGGATTGCGGTATTACTAGGCCTGTGGTAAATGTGACGAGGTTCGAGGAGTTGGTGGATCGTGAAATGTTGATCCCCACACATCCACGGCCGGGACGTAAACCAGCTTGTTCTTCACGGCAGTATGAATCACGTATTAGAGAAATCTACGAAGGAGACTATATGTCAATAAATAGGTGGCTACCGAACTGAGAATAATCCTGTGATGATTAACACATAAAGTGCGAGCGTCTTTCGTGAAAATCGGAACAATAGTAGGCACTTTCTCTTCATGCCAGATTTTGCTGAACAACGACTTCAGCTGGTTACTGACACCTGCACAACTCCAGATGAAGTCCGTCTGAGCCGGCAGACTTGAATGCATTTAGGCGTGGAATAACATGGGAGCATTGCACTTCGATGAGTCCATCCCGAGGGACAAGCCAGGGTAGGCAGTAAGGTGTGTTGCGTGAACTGGTGGACGGTGGAGGCCAGTTACTTTGCGAGTGAAAGCGCTAGGACCAACTGTCCAAACGACTTCGTGTATTAATTATCGGAGACCCGTCGGCCTCGCAAACGACCTAACTGACAACAGGCTTCCTGAGGCCAGTGGACCTAATCAGTTAGAATAGGTTGCAAGTGTTTCCAGAGTGAGCAGCGGTTTCCATCTCTAAAGAGCGCTCATACAAATCAACCACACGAACTTTGCGCAGGTTTTGCTTGAGCGGACGGTTGACAATACGGCGCCACTCGTTGCAATTTGATTCTGTCGGGATATCTTTGCTTCGGTCGATAAGATCCAGAGAGCGAGCAGAGATCCAAGGCTTTAAGGGACGTCAATCTAAGCCGCAGCTTGACTGTGCGAAAGTAGTCATCGCCAAGCCAAGTCTAGCTCAATATCTTGCGGTGCATTACAAATGCCAGGGAACACGGGCAGCTAGCCTGGACAAAAGAATCAGTTAATCTACTCGTATCAATCCTGTGGTGCATGGATTTAGCGAACCCACAATAACACGTGCAGATTTTTCGCGCGGACCAGTTCATGATCCGAATCAATAAAAATTGTCGACCAAAAGACCTACAGTCCTGTACGATGATACCTTATTTGAAGTTTATTTCAGTGTGATCCATTTGAGACAGCGGTTGTGCGAAACGTTTCTTCGTTTGCCTGCAGTTGGTGCCAGAGAGAAGCAGATGGCTGTCTTCGCACAATGTGAGAATTCGCTCTTTGTTATCCAAGCGCTCACTATCGAGTGCGTGGTGACCATAAAGGTGAGGTTTGTATAGCAACAAGCGGACAACGTATGCATTGACATCCCCAGCAAATACAACAACATCCGATATTCTAGCATTTTTCAAGAGTTGATGATGCTCTCCATAAATATAATCGTTGCCCGAGCTACTGTTGCCGTCAGTTGGATCGTACGCGGAGATCACAAACAAGTTGCTTCTCTCCTTATGACGCTGGTTACTTCTACATGAACCCCGAAGATGAACTGCACACAGTCGGCTGTTAATCGGGGACTAATCCAGTATTGATGCCTCAACCTTGCCAATTATTGCTATACTTACACCAGCAAAACCTGCTGAGGCTGCTTCTGGTTCTCCAGAAAGACGTAGGTGATATCTGGCTCCGTGCTTACTGGGGCATGTCAGCATAAGCACAATGTAGTGTTCTTTCAATAGGGCTTCGGAAAGGCAGCAGAAATCCACATCGAGGGAGTCTAGGATGCGCGCTATACCGGCCTGTTTTCTAATCCCCTTGAGTGTCAGTACGTTGAAGCACGCCAGACGGCACGTGGATCAGGTTCGAAGGAGAGCCACAAAGTTGTACTCCTTAGCTCGCGGTGCAACCGATATGACAGACAGAATCATGAACACAGAAATCGGGTAACAGATGACAAGGACTGTTAGCAAACAAACACTTGACGTTAAATGAAGTAGTGTGATGTAAATAGCAGAAACAGTAGCAGATGAGGATATTGTAGCACAGACCATGGATTTTATCAGAGAGCGTGATATAAGGTTTTTGCCCAAGCCGAACTAGGGAGTTGACTATAGGGACCCCACCTCGATGCCTTATGTAGATAACTCCCATGCAAGGCAGCGGACGGAATTCAGGGAATCCAGTTCATTGGAAGCCGGAAACCGGTTACTAAGCTCCCATGAGTTTCGTTTGATCGGTTAACTAAGTGAGGCCCACTTCTCTCCACATTTTTTCTTATCGGATTGCTGGCATACACTGCCTCGATAGAGTGAAGTAAGGAGCAAGGACGTGAATTATTGGCCAGTCACATCCGGCACGTCTTAGTGTTGTTCAACTGACCCACGTGGCTTTTTATAGGGCGATCACTTGCCGGGCGTAAACCCACCACGTTCCGAAATACTGCCGCCGAACCATTCACTGGAACAGTGTGATCCTGAACCACTCAGCTGGCACTACGAGGACGTTGTACCGCAAGCCATCAAAGCTGATAACCATGGTTAATATCAAGCAGATTGGATGGTGTGAGGAAAGCATGTTTTTTGCATGTTTACGAATTTGCTGAAAGCTATGACATTAGATCGGCAAGCTGTCGATGACAGACAGCATTTTACGTTGCAACTCAGCGTCAAATCTCTTCCATGTATCAAACAATTCCTCTCTATCTATTAGGTTCCTTTGGCGAATTCGTTGCTTCATACCTATCCTCAGTTCAGAGCAGTTTTTTTGGATTCATCCATTGCACTGTCCACTGTATACTCTCAAATCGGAAGAAGAGGGATTCGTAACACTGAGCCCGACATTACTTTGCTGCAGATCCGGCCATATTTTTGTATTCATCATTGATTTTAGAAACTACAGATCTCTAAAGGCTCATATACCAAATAAACAGAAACGACAGTTTTAGTATGAGAAATAAAGGTGCAGCTGGAATTATGAGTGCATTTGCTCATTCTTCAGTGAGCTGTTCAATAGCAGTGTTTGAGTTCCGAGGATTTCTTCGCCACAATATTTACAGCGTCTGTTCGCTTTCCTTATCTAGTTTTCACAACCTGCCTGCCACTTAGACCGGTCTCTTGGATCAAGATGTTCCTGCGATAGGTGGATGTAAATAGGAACGAGAATAACCGGTCTATTGTACCCAAAATGTTATAGAGTGTACCGTCGTTGAGGCTGTACTCACACAAACCATATTCAAGTAAAGGTTTATAGAAGGCACAAATTTGGTGCTGCGTATCTAAACCCCCCATCGGTAGCCCGCCGTTACAGCAGCATTGGTAGATGCCTGACCACGTTCGCTGTCATTTGGAATTCCACCCTTCACCACGCCTCAAAATCAGTTAAGAAATTTCCTTTGAGCTCTTGCTGTTGGTCTCATTGGAGTGGAAAATCAAGTCTATAACCATCACATCATTTTCATCCATTTTGTATAGTACAACAAGCTACTCAGCTGATTTTTGTGAAATAAATCAGCAGTGCTATCGTAAACTAAACTCAAATACTTGCTTTCCTTGACCTGACCCATAAGTATCTTTCTCATCTTTAGTACGCAATAGGTTAACCGTCACTTTGAACTCCGGAAAGCAAATAAGGAGCATTGCTTTTGTTTCATAAATGAACTGTTATCAAATATCAACGATGAACTGGATCATAATTGGCCAATAAAGCTACTGTTTCCAAAACATTTCCTCTATTTTCCTAGACTCATTTATCGTCGTAGATTTCTTTTGGTGACCACGCCGTGGCATGTTTTGCCGGTGGGAAACTTGGCGATATCCAGCAATCCAATCAAATTTTCACGCCACTTCTTTGTTTCTTTTTTCATTAAAGTATGCTTCATTTTATTCTTTTCTTTCAATAGCCGTATTTCGAAATCCTTACAATTGCGGAATGCTAGATCATGGATTTACTAGATTCGTGAACATACACCATTGGAGATAATTTTCACCAGTCCCTGATACCCTTAGTGGTAAAAAATAAACTACTCCGCTGAACACAGTCTGCAGGAGAAGCGAAACGCAGTCTTTGGGGAGAATACACCATCTATATCCGCACTCTGCTCTGCGTTTCGCAAATCCCAAAATATCGGTTCGTTCTTATCTCTCTATCTTCACATTCTTTCTTCGTTCTAGGTCGCACTACTTCTTTGAAATTATGATGGAGATGCTGCACAGCATTAGATCTCAGACGGACAAACATAGTGGAAATATCATGCTCAATTTTAACAGGTCAGAGACCGACATGCGCTAAAACAGCTGATGGTTAGGTTATCGTGCCAAGCGGTCGTTGGTTTTCCAATTTTTTGAATTCGCTGCATTTTCTGAGTCAGCATCACAAACCTATCCCACTGCATCAATGTCACTTTCTGTTGCACGCGTATCAGCTTTGGGAGTGCTTATTTCACCTTCTGTCTCATTGTGATTATCGCCTTTCGCTTTAACCACAAGGAAGGAGAGTAAAGCGATCTTGGTGAAAGCGACAAAATTGTTTGGACTTTTGACCAACTTATCGCTTTATACGCTACGTATGCAGTGTGGTCACCAGTTTCGTTTGCTGGATAAGTAAGGTTAGCTGCACCATTGTCAAGAAATGTTGCGACTTATGTTCTTCTTTCGTGTATTCGCTTAGAAGAAGCCGCATTTATCCGGAACTCGGAACTAAGACTGCTTCGATCCACATACTTGCACTTTATATTCTTTTTGACATCAGTCTGGAATGAAGCACTACCATCATAATCCTCAGGCCCCATGCTTTGCAGTTTGGAGATCTGTGCAACCTCGAGATTGATTGTGCTACCACGTTTACCTGGGAAAGTGCTTATCGAATGTAATGCTACTGCTACTTGTTGTGGGTGGTAGTTTCGAGCTCATCAAGTTCTTCAGCGATGGGTACACCGTGTACAACGATGGTCCTGATTACGGATCTATTCCAGTACCTTGCAAAGTTATGTTTCGCCAGTTTACGCTTGCCCCATGGATTATCCGGGTGATTCGAATGGAACATGACCCATTCAGGCAAAGAGCTACATATAACAGATTAGCTTTTACTTCCTCGGCGAGGGTCAATACAACGCGGTTGACCATTGCGATCTGACTAGCGCCAATTTGGCAGGCTTAGTTATAGCACTTTAGATGTCACATTTGAATTCCCACTGGTTCAAATAATCGAGTTGCTGCATTTTTTGGAAGTTGCGTCAATTCCGGAACGTTGGTGCAAATTACGGATGATACACTAAGTGGTCCCTTAGTGACCGGTTGTGCACCCTGATTTATGGTCGACCGCCCAGCTGCTCTGCATAAAATCGGTGGTGGCTGTGCATGTACAAGTTCAACTTCGTCGCTTATCTTTGGTTCCGTTGCAGTAACTAAATGCCTAAGTATCCTGTTAGCTTTGGCAGCAACCATCTTTAAAGCACCACTATTACCAACGCCATTCTGAGATTTAGGAACCGTCTGGAGAGTGGATGAGGCTCTGGTCGTATTTAATCGGACTGGCGGTGGTTGGTTCTGGCCTATTTGGGCCCTTGGTGGTATTGAGCTTTAACGTTACAACTGACGCATTTTGGACGTTCGGTGCCGCCTTTTCTCGCGTTTAAAGCGAAGCCTATTAAACAAATAAGGGCATATTCTTCGTCACGCTTTTTAATGAAGCGTTTTTGATGTTGCGCATTTCTTCAATCGTTATCAACAACCTATAATGTCGCTGCGATGGTTCATGTACCACTGTTACCAAGAAGATAACCATACATACTGCATAAAGCGACAGATGTTTTGGTCTACCAATGTGCAACTTAAGTTGTTAGACTGGAAGCTTAACACACTTAGAATGAAACCTTGGGAGGCAATTGGAGCAGTGCAGTACTGTTCGTATAGTTTTTTAGCTTGAAGGATGGACTCATGCTAATTTCTTTTGGGTAGCTTCGTTAGATTGGGCTTTACAATACGTGTTGTTTCGTGCCAGCTAGTCCATGCTTTCTTATCAATGGCTGAGCGCATGTGGCTGCCTGCCTGTCCTCTGCACATGATTTGGCTGTGTTTTCAAGGTCGACACTTTTCGCTTCGTTACTGTGCGACTGTAAACTATCCTGTCTATAGGCCTTCGTCATGCATGCCGGTCAAATACCTCAGTACGCCCGTGCGGCAGGTCATGCGAGGATTGGATAAAGGATTCCTGTGACCAGGCCTATGTCCACCCCATGGTGAATTTGTCGGGAGACTGAGATGGGTCCGCTACAGCATAACATTAATTGCCCTGTAGCTTCTTTACACAACCTTGAGGTTGGACGAGTGAGAGCTTGTTCGAACGCCGTTCGAGTGCTCTATTAACCGAGACTAAAACATGTCTCCGACGATTGGAATTACATAACAGTGTGCATAGATAGCCGTGAAGCACTCTCAGGAATGTACATTTTATAATAAAGGGAGGGTGCACTGTTAGTGTCCATGAGAAAATGCTACCACAAGCTATGACTTGTAAAAGTAAGACAAAATAGTCTAGATCAAGTTTTGTGCGACAAAAATGCGGCTAACTAACAGGGATGGAGCCAAAAGTGTACGAATGCGCGGCCGTACACCAACTATCACAGCGCCACATGAGCATGCATGAGCTGTTATTCTAGGTAAGGCGGAAACCGCTACGCGATCTATCCTTCACGCTCCATGATATTAAGTCACAATGGGCTGTATCATCCATGTCAAGTTAGGCATTTATCTGTAGTTCTCCCATCGATTTTACTAATCATGGTTTCACAGACGGCTGACTTGTGTTTGCTTAATCGGACATTACCAACAGTGGACAAATTTCAGATGCAGCAAAGGGTACTGTCTTTTCGAGCATTGAATCATAGATGAATTCAGGAAAAGAAGGCTGTTGGCAAACGCAGTCACTATTAAAAATACGAGTTGCGCCGTTGGAACTCGGCACAATGTTTGCGCATTCAGTGGCATGCTTTTGGCCAGTAGATGTGGACCTGAGCATAACACACGATCGAAATGTAAGCTACTGTTCAATATGTAATCCCAAATAGTGTAAGTCAGAACATCACACACAAAAGGACACGGCAGTAGTCTGTACAAAGGGTCAAACCCTTGGTCCATTTTGTTACATAAACTATTCACGTGCATCACCCGACAGGCAGTGGCTAGTGATAAGCAACCACAACACAACCTAGCTGACAACAACCATAGTACTGGTGGCAGTCTCGAGTGCATATGAATTACGCATATCCAAACTACGGATCCCTTACATATACATTCCGCCTGCCAATACTATCGACCCTGTACTGTGTTTATACTTACCATATACTTCGTTAATTTGTATAATTAAGGTCCGTTTATCAGTGCACTACATTAACCGTTATGTCTCGATAATCTTTGTAATGTCCTCCACTAGACCTATATGAACATTTACGTGAACGTAAATCGAAAGTGTTACATCTGACACCTTATGTCAAACAGTTGTATTCAAACCGTCCAAACGGTGCTTCTGAAGTTAATAATGACAGCTGCAAGGATTAAAAGCTGTAAACACGTGAATTTACCTCCGTATGGCGGCATCCATGTGCCAAATCGCTGTACAAGGTCGAAGTTTTGCTGATATTGGTCGTATGCGTACATAAGCGATCGCATTCCACGTTTCGGGTACAACCAAAAGAAACTCTGCAAAAGATGAAAAATAGGCGGTTTCAGAATTCAGCGAGGATAGGAAACAATTGGCTTGACAAAATTGCTAGGGGACGATTCGCTTCTGACAATAAGGTGTCGTCAGAACAAATTCCGAAGTGTCCAAGGAATCTAGGAAAAATTGTCACCAGCTTAGTTGTCGCTTCAGTTGAAATAAGACATGGCTACACCACATTGCCCGGTTAGTAATCCCACACTGTTTCTGCTGGGTTACAGACCGTGTAAATACAAATGACACATATACCATTCTGTCTATTCAGTAGACGGTGTCCTTGATAGCCCAGGTTAAGAAGGTACTTCTGAGGCAAGTGCCTTTAACGTCGTAAGACTGTATTTTTGGCCACACAAGTCATTTTGCGGTATAGCTTGTGACGGAAGTATTAGCTGGATTGATTCCGGGTAAAAATTCATGTTGTCTCTTAGAGCTGAGTCATGAATAACTTTGGACAATGCAAGTGAATAGAACAGATAACTTTCGAAGGCGGCCGGTCACACTCAAATAGTCAGTGGATTACTACACATCATCCGCAGTGCGTATTCCAGCTGTGCCTCATGGCGCCATAACCTGAAACTCTATTATTAATGAGTCACGGGGATTAGTAGCAGTTGTGATAACCTGGTTACTAGCTAGACTATACGGCGACAATCATCCTCTAATACAACGCCATTTCTAACATAAAAATGGATTGGCCCCGTGAGTCGAAACGCATTCTTAGCTGCATTGTCCAAATATAGTCTAGCTTGGGAAAACAAAGATTTTAGAGAGTAGTGAAACGAACAGATTTGACTAGGCTTTATGCGATGCTTATAGCGTCAGCACTCCATGTGACAGGCTGTGCACAAGCAGCAAAGTGCTGGAGAGCCAATTCATCTTTTCAAAAAATGTTAACAATGTTCAAGCCATTTGTTTCAGGTGAGATTGGAGCACAAACTATGTAGTGGCTTGCTAACTTATTGCAAACGACAAAATTGCCATGCAAGTCGCAAAATGGATAATGGGGACTTCCTTTGGATAACCAAACACACAAGCGCCATCTGCTAAACTCTAGACAACAGCCTATTTGAAAAGCATGGAAAGGAGACGAACGCTGGTAGATGCATGCATTTCGTGTTGTCTTCTCAGTACCATTAACCATAACCGATATGCATAGATATAGCTATCAGTGGGTGTAACTAGACAAGTTTGAGGTGCAGAACGAATGACGGAACTTCACACTTACGTCCAAGGCAGCTTTAGGCTGACATGACTGGCTTCATCCGGCTTATGGCGACGGTCTCAGCAAACCGAAGGCAGCGGGGATTAGTGTGAGATAACGCCACATTTAACGCTGAGCCCAGCTGCATCCTGTGACCCGAGTCTAATAGGTGTTTGTCTACCGAGGAAGTCAGCGGTCTATGATAACACGGAATCTGACGATGGTAGGCAATCTGCAGAAATGCACGCTGAACCCATCTTGATACGCGTTCCTTTATTCGGGAAGTCAGAGTTCTATTAGTTCTGCCTATGTAACTTTCCTCGCAGTCACATACAAATTACTATAGATAGTGTGATTTGGCCCCAATATGCTAAGCTTCCTTCGTTGGAGGTATGGACAAATTTCGGGTACGGTTGATGACGACAACTTGTGCCGCATCTTAGTCGACATTATACGCTTCGTTGTCTTCAGCGTGGCTGAATCACCTATAAAATGCAATTCGATGTACACTTTCTTCTTGGCTGCCTTGTGCATCAAGTCCTTTGGCCCTCGCGGTTGGCTGTGTTTCTCTAACAATTTTCGAGGGCAGCCGCCCGACTTTAGTGTTGCTGTTATTAACACTAGCTCATCGTCTAGACAGTCGATCGAACAAATTCCTCTGGCATGACTAACTCGAGTCTTCACAAGTGTCCTTTTGTACCGCACAGGCGTGAAGCTGGTGAAGTGCAGGTACTGACCAGACCAAGTTTATTTTCGGTAAATGGACCTCTTAATCAATCCATCATTCCTGCGACTTAAGAGTATATCCAGGTATGACAGACAATTGTTCTGTTCTATTTCGCATGTAACCCGTAAGTTAGCATGAGCACCATTGAGCCGTTCTACAAAATGTGTGCGCTGCTGCTCCGAAGTACAGAAGGCCAAGATATCATCGACATGTCGTTTGTAATAGGTCATCTGGACTACTTCCGTAGAACTGCTTCTTTCTACCATCAGCATGAAGAAATCAGCGAGTACAGGACCTAATAGGCAACCCTTTGCTACGCCGTCCATTTGACGGTATGGTGTACTTCGGAAGTGAAACTCCACAATCTCTGTGCAAAATAGTAGAGATTCACTTAGCAATTCAGTCGGAATCAGTAGAGAACAGCCACATTTTTCAGCTAATTCGCACACGTAATCAACCTTCTGATATAGCGGGACGTTGGTAACTAAGGATTGTACATCCAAGGAACATATGACTTTGTCTGACAGTATGAGTTCATCCAAGTAGCCGATGAGTTAAAACGAATCTTTAAGAATGCTCGGATTGTACTGTTGTTTCTGCGGAGATAGCAACCTTACTAAGCAACGAGAGATTTTATGCTGTGGCGCGTTCAAGACTGAAAGGATTGGCCTGAGTGGCACTTCACTCTTATCTGTCTTTGAGGACCGATGCAAGCGTAGAATAGTGCTACCACTAGGCTTCATACTAGTAAATGTATCACAGTCTATCAAGCGGTGGAGGAAAAGCAATTCCAGGTGCCGAGCATAGTGCGTTTCGACATAGGTTATTTCCTCACTTTCGTTAGCCGTTCGAATTTACTCGCATCGTTGAGTATGGCTCATCTCTCCTCATTGTATTCGGTTTATTCATGACCACCACTCTTGAAGCTTTATCTGGTTTCATTATGACTACGTGCGTAGCTCGTAATTCACGTAAGGCCTGAAGATATCGAGTTGTGATGGCACATTTTTTATTAGCTGGCATGGTTTTTCACCTCCTGGGTGATATCGGTTAACTTGTTTCCAAACCAAATATGTTTATCAGGGCTGGTTGGTTGGAGCACCTTAAACTGGTCAAAGATGTTTTAATAGGGCTTCTATAAGCAAGCCGTTCCACTTTCTAGGGGGACTTTGTAATTAAGCCTGAGATAATGCTTCCCATTGCAACGCATTAAGTTGTATGTGCGATAAATTCATCATGCAATTGCTGGGATCACGAGCAATTCGTTTCTCTTTCTGGGGGTTAGTCAACAAATTTTCTAAACGAGCAGAGCGATTTCGTCTCGTACGATCAAGAGTTGATTTACAATACTTAGAGGAAACAATTCGGCAACTCAGAGACAGATCCTCGACCAAGGGTAGTAAGCGTGTATGAATTCTTACTAGTTTCACCAATCTGGTTTTAGCCGTCACTCAGTTAGCGGACACTAAACGTCCGAGGTTAGCCGCAGAGGGCTTGAGTTAGCTTCTACGCAGCAGTAAGCGAATTGCACGAGGATACTGGCGCACGAAAATGCATTTTAATAAAAAAGATGTCTCCAAAAGTAAGCATGTTAACTTTCACTTCAGGCTTACGAGGCGATGCAGCAACCGGACTGTTTCGGCTGGAGATCGTTGTTTAAGAAACTTAAAGTAGTTAGTTCCATTTAACAAAGTGAAAAGCACGGAAAGAAGACGAAGGTTGGTAGTTGCATACATTTCGTGTTGTCTCCTTAGTACCATTAACAATAACTGATATGCGTAGGTGCAGAACGAATAAAGGAAGGTCACGCCTACGTCCAAGACAGCTTCAGGCTGACAGATAATTGTTTCTGAACACACATAACTGCCTTCATCCGGCATTTAGCGACAGCCTCAGAAAACCGAAGGCAGCGGAGATTAGTGTGAGGTACACAAATACAGTAAAACGGCTCAATGGTGATCATGCTAATTTACGGGTTACATGTGATGTAGAACAGAACAATATTCCGCCATATTTAAACACACTCATAAGTTGGAAGAATGATGGATTAGATAAAAGGTCCATTTACCGAAAATAAATTTGGTCTGGTCAGTACCTGCACTTCACCAGCTTCACGCCTAGGCGGCACAAAAGGACACTGGTGAATATTTGAGCTAGTCGTGCCAGTGGAATTTGCTTGGCCGACTGTCTACAACTTTTCCCAGTTGTTTGCGTCCACAGTGCAATTGAATTGCTTCCTAAAGCACGGATTTGCAGCCGCAAGCCAATGGAATATCATGTATAACTCAGTTAAATTACATCCAGTATCATACTGACACAACAAGCGCGCGCATTGACCTTGGGATTTAGCCAATCCAAAGCAGCCCATAGCGGTGGATGTCATAAACGTTGCATGAATGTGTGCGTTTTTGGTGTGTGATAGGGACGCATGGGCGAATAGCCTACAACTAGCAACGGTGCCCAAGGTGAAAACAGCCCCCCGCGGCTTAGGGACACACGGTTGTCTAAATAACCGGCGCGAATAGGTAGAGGGTTCAGCGTGAGTAATTGGAAAGTCATGTACGTGAAGCATGCCTTGCGAACAGCACAAGTTGGGGGGTGGGCTGAGAACAAGTTAGTTCGACACCACATTAGCTGTCTCATTGCTGGTTTGGCATTGGCGCAGCCCAAGGTTTGGACGACCTACCAACGCTCGGGCATACAACGGTGCTGTATTCGGATAGCGAGACAGTTGAAGATGCGTCGCTGCGCATGACATGGGCTGTGTGACTGACTTGCGAGTCGAGAAATAAAATGGTCTGCGCAACCGAAATACAGATTGGAAGGTGGCCATCTTGGGTTATAGAGAGTCGTTTTGAGCAGCGGGCTGCTGAGAAGGCTAGTGCTGAAATTCAAGTGTGGTCATTTTGTTACAAGGCGAGTAGACACTACTTTGTCACAACAGGCGTCGCTTACCCTCATGATGGATGCAGTGCACCGACTTGATGGTCCCTGACTCAAATGGGATACTGCGACCGGGCTGTCGGAATTTTGCATCAAATGATTTGTACGCA